TGGATGTACCTGTATTGTAGTCATGCTGTCTCTTATACACATCTAGATGTGTATAAGAGACAGATTATACCCATCTTATAAAACATTAAGGCGACTGCAGCTTGTCATTGCACAAAATGTATTTTTTAAATTTATTTTTTATTTATTATTATATTAATCCCACAATCTTAATATTCTTATACAGTAGTAATCATCCTTTCAATTTGTTTTAATATTTCATTCATGCTTTCATCAATTATTTTAATTTCATCATTTTTATCGTTCTATCGATTAATTATCGTCTTACCTTTACTCATTAAACGTTCTGCCTCTGAACAAGATTGGTTGTCCTGCCGCCCAATCCCCCTTCCCCTCTGTTGAAACTTTGTCATTCGTCGTTGGCTGGGGCGGATGCAGGATTTGGCGGTAGGGGGTGATAACATTTTTAAAATATGGACCTCAAGGTGCCAGTAAATTTCACTCTCATAGATTTAATTTCTTACCGGTACTACATTTTCAATAATACAATACAACAATTATTTCTCTTAATACAATTCGCATGGGGGGGGGGGCTGCGATCGAACCGTCTGCACCCCCCTCTGCATCCGCACCTGATTGGTTTACTTGCTTTTCGAATTCTTCCTTAGATTTTTAATGTTGGGTTAGGTTAGGTTATATTGTCTTGTGAATTCGTGGGTTTTTTTTTTTAAATGTTAAGCAATTTTTCCACATCTAGGTCTTCATTTTTACAAGCTCATTAGAGTTTCATGAAGGTCCTTTTAATTTTTTATCCAAATCTTAACATTTTAAAAGTTTTATTTGTAAATTCACTTGATTATGAATAAAAAAAGAACTGACTAGAAAACAGCACGTAGCCTAATATACAACGCGTTTTCTACAGTAGAACACACTGTGAACGAGAGAGTGTAACAAAAGCGTCGGGAAGCAGGCTTTTTAATATTTCAAATACTGATGGTTAGGCCTATTACCTCTTAATGTGGCTCTCTCATGATGGTTTGATGAATTCAACGAGTTTAGTAAATTTAAATGTATGTTACTGTTCTGATCAATAGGGTGTATTATTGTATCGGTTTTGATAGCCATAGATGTTGATTCTTAAAATTGTTATTTAGTGGATGTTTTGCAATTATTGCATCGTTTTCAATGTATTATTAATACAATCTTACCGGAATGATCCACATCGATCATTTAAAATTATGTAACGATAATGTGATAATTAATTCAGTTTCGGAAAGCATTTATTAACTATTAAATACGTACATCTTCTATAAAATATATTCGCTGCTGTATTGGTTCGTTGGTTAATCTGGTCACTCCGGTATCATCCACCCAATCTTCCTGTTAAAAACGAAAAACAAAACAAAGCAGAAAATATTCATCTATTTTGTAGATTCATACGATGTGAAAAAAACAAAACAAAACAAAACAAAACAAAGAGAAATATAATAACATCTACAAAATTACCAACTAGGCCTACTATAAATGGACTCACTGAAATAAAGTTTTGATATCAGTCAATGGCACGCGCAGTTGCCTATTGACGACTAATATAATACTGTAGTTGATATATTATTCTCAGGCCAACATGCGTTCTTCTATGAATATTGAAATGTAATCATAATTCCTTCATTGTCAATAGATTGACTTAAAGCTCTGATTACATAAAATCGCTACAGCGTTTTCACAGCAATCGTTACAACACAAAAGAATAAGTTCCCGACATAATACAGTACTGACCAATCAGTGTCGCCGAAATTTATTGGCGATAATGTTAGCGATTTTAAGTAAACCGGGCTTGTCTAGGCCCAGGGGTAATGTACGTGTGATTATGATATCTGGACTACGTAGAGTACCCTGCGTCTTAATAAAGACACCGTAGTATTTGCACGTATTCTACACGCACTGATGATATCAAGCAAACCAATATGATTTAACAATCTCTATTCTTTATAGATAAATGTGAAAACAATTACATATCAGAAAGTGAAGGCCTATAGAATGTATGAAATAATACTAACGGCAGTCCAGTAAAATTCCCATGTAGTTTCTTTATTGAAGTTAGGTGGCCAGTTGGTTCGGCTTCCGACCCAAACATGACAAAGAATGCCTCGTACAGTTCTCTGTGCAATAAACAAATTGATGGTTCACTAAGGCTACTTAGCCAGAAGTACTCACATACTCACGTCTATATGTTACCATATTAACACAAATGCCTACTACTAGTAGGAAGGTTATCATCATGAATGTTTCTGGACTAGAGGGTTGTAATTTTACATTTATCCTAAATATACAAGAAAGCTATTTTAAATAAAGACATACAGAAGCTGTCGATCTTATTGCAAGCAAGAGGAAACATAGAAAAACTTAGGCCTAAAGTAATGTACTGATAGTTTAAAATCAATGTTATGAAAGTTAGAGTAGTACGTGGCAGATTGAACGTTGTAGACATCACAATTGGAAATTTCATGATTTAACAAATTCATGCCATCCCATCGTTGATAACAGGCCTTACCTGGCCCTCGTACTTGTAGTTGACCTGGTCATAGCCGAACATCTCGTAGCCTGTTTTCATTCGAATATAATGGGGGTCGTCAGTTGGCACCGAGTCGCTTGTTGAGTTGTAGATCGGCATTGCAGTACAGTTGTTCGTATATTTGTCGATGAGATAGGCGATACCTGTATTAAAAAAACAACGTATGCGTGCGATTTAAGAATCATTACTTCAGAATGGAAAATGATTTTTGTTTTGTTTTAGGAGAAACATTTATGATTATTTGTCTGAAATCTCACAGGTAACAATTCTTGGTAGGCTTGTTATTTGAAGAGCGACATATTTATAAAAAGTATCTCTTTTGGGCGTATCTTATTGATCTCTGTTATTTGCCATGCATCAGGGACTAGTGTAGTGCAACTACGCGTGCGCATGACTGTGAAGAATTAGATGCTTTAATCGGATTCGTACTAGGCCTACGTATAAAGCTACGTTCACATTAAGCCCGAATCCGGTCCGGAGCCCGGACAAAAAATCGTGAGTTGCTACGTTTTTTAAACGCTGTGTTCACATCGCGCACGGAATTCGGGTTAAGTACGTATGCGTTCGATTGGTTCGAACCAACCAAGCTTGTTGCTGTTTGGTCTAAGAGAAAAAAAACGTACGATTTCAGGATACAAATGGCTCTAAGATCCATCGGTCCGGATCCGGAGTCCGGATTGGAAATCGTACGAATTTGATGTAAACGGTCCTATTCTTTACCACCGAACCCACTTTTCACGATTTTTGTCCGGGCACCGGACAGGATCCGGGCTTTGATGTGAACATATCTTTATCCTGATGCACAGCGATGCCCGAAAACGTTTGTGTACTCAATAAACTACTTTTAGCTACACTAGATACAAAAGTTTGTGATATGGATGTACCTGTATTGTAGTCATGGATCTCGCTCATCGGGTCTAATCCGTACGTATAACCTGGTAAGGGTGCGACCGGAGCATAGTCATATCTTATCAAATTGGCAGAATAATCATACCATTCCTACAAAACATGAACATAAATAATAATTATTTTTGATAATTCTTGGTAGTTTCCCCTGACCAATGTCCCTGCCGACGAGAGTGTAGATGGGCGTCGTCTGGCGTCCCTCAACATCTCTCGAACGTGGTCTAGGGGAAGCTGTCACGGAAATATCGTGGCCCCGGCCAATTCTGAAGAGTGGGGCCGGGATGTCTAACGCCCGGTACTTGGTAGGTGTTCTTCTGTGGGTCCCCATGAGTAATCTAATGTTTGTATTGACATTCAACAAAGGATTATAGCCTATAAGCCTATGCACTTAGAAGTATGGACTGCAGCCGTGTGTGTCATGTTGTCATGATTGGTTGTACTAGACATCCCTTTAACTTACATCAGCATAGACGACAATGTTGTAGAAATCTACTATTTCCTCCACTCGCAACTGAAACTGGTCTGGCGGTGTTGGTATAATTGGTGTCGTATTCGTACGATTTGGGCAACTAACTCCAGGAGGCGTCTGTAGAATGAACGCATTGTGTTTAATATTTCTTTTAATTGATTTGCACTATTTCAACAACTTGAAAGAGAACAACATAAACAAATCATCAACGAAACAAACCTGAAACACTGTAGCCGGAATGGGGTCATTTCGGAAGAAAAGTAATTCATACACGAAGTTAATTGGATAGCCAACGCCAGACTTCAAAACAGCTTCTCCAACAACTACCGCACGTACAGGAACTTGATCAATTCCGGAAGCCGTTTGGTATCTTGAAAAAGATAATTTAAAGTAAACAAATACCCTACTAAATATTTTTATTTAGAAAATGATCTATGATTAATAGTTCTGATGATTTGTGTGAGACAAAAAGCATATAGGCCTAAGATGATCTGAACGTGCATCCTGGAACACAGTGAATGTGAATTATTGATGAATGTAAGTAAGCAATGTGAGAACGATGGTTCAAAAAAGTTTTCATACATGCACCATATATATATAGTGGCGTAGCTAGAGGTTTTGGCGCCTGGGGAAAAGATTAGAAAATTGCGCCACCCCCTCCCCATTATAATTATAATATTTTGAAATAAATTGATATTGGTTGTATAGACTTTAAGCATATCTGTACCGTACGTCCATATCATGCACCATCTAAATAACATTATTTAAACCCAAATAACTATTATTATTCCAACTCTCATATGTTCTTTCTTACCAGGGGTGGCGCCAGGATTTGCCCGAGGGGGGTCCGAGGTCCGGGGGGAGATGCCCCAACGAGGGAAAGATTTCCTTGACGAGAACAAAGTGGGCGTGATCAAGCGTCGCTTAAAATCTTCCGAAAGTGGTCTGGGGGGGGGGGGGTTGGACGAACCCCCCGAAAATTTGTGACAATT